ATCCAGAACGGTATGGAAGATGCCAGAAACTGCAAACCGGAAACGATGAAGGACCAAGAGCCTGGCAGTCAGGCAATGCAGAGGGAGGTGGGAAGAAGCTGGGGGTTTTATTTGCACTGTGTAGGGTAAGGTAAAAAGTATCAGGCTTTTCTGCCCTCCCGCCATTAGGATGGATGACGGAACCCCGCGGTCCCGAATGCAGGCCTGATGGCGGCACCTGGAATCGGGTGTGGGCATAGGTAGATGGGATTCACCTGGGCGAAGATTGGGCTTTTAAGGGCGGCGTCAGGGGGACACCAGCAGAAGCAGAAGTTGAGAGAAGCAGCAGAGAAGCATAAAGAACTATGAGACCAGCAGAGAAGGCCAGAGAGCCCAGAAAGAGTGAAGACTTGCTGGGGGCTGGGAGGCCTGCTAGCCTCCCGGCTCCTCAGCACCCCTGCCTGCCGTGTACCCAGTAAATCCCAATAAAAGCCTGCAAAAGCCACTGAGGGCTCCAGGACTCTGACTCCTCCCTTACCCCATCTGCTGGGATCATAGAAAACCTGCTCAGTGGCCACTCCTGCCTCTACACACGGAAAGAGGGCACCCCCAGTGGGCTGGGGGAAGCAGACAGCTTTCTCCTAAAGACGCCGTCTCCGCCGACTTTGCTGCCTCCTTTCTCTATCTCCTAAACGCTGGAACTGCCCACAGCTCCATGCGCGGCCTTCTACTACACCACTGCGGCTTCTGGGTCCCCATTCAGACCCGTGGAACAGCTCCCTCCCAACTAGCCACCCATGACCAGTCCAGCGCCCTCTCTCCTGGTGGCCCCTAGTGTCTTCGACGGGACTTCCCAGCCCTCTAACATTAAACTTGCCCAACACCGAGCCCCTCCTGTGTGCTCCAAGTGAATGGAGACGCCACCTGTGTACCCAGAGTCTCCTCCGATGCCCCTTTCACCCCACAATCCAAGACTTCACTGTCAGTCTACCTGCCACACTTCTGAATCCTCCTGCTGTGTCCTGTCCATCCTCTCCGCCCCCATCTTCAGCATCTCTCCGCCCCTCCTGCTGGCTGCCCTCCAGCCTTAACCTACATCTATCCATTAGACTCTTCCAGGGACGCCTTAAAAAGTCAGACTTCTGATGCCCACATTAGCCATTCTGAATCTGACTCTCCAGGGATGGGACCCAGTAGTCTGGAAATTCAGGAAGCTCCTGGGTTTTTTGTTTTTTTGTTTTTTTTTTTGCAGCCAGGGCACGGGAACTATTTGGAAGACAAAGCCCCTATCTCCAGCCATAAGCTCCCATCCTCCCTGCCCTGCGAGGCGCAGCACTCCCAGGCCGCACTCCCCGGTGCCCTCCTCCAGCCAGCTTCCCTGCTTCTCGATCTTTGCTCTTCATTCCAGCCTTATTACTGAAGGGGAGGGGCCTAGGCCACTCCTCAGGCTCCTTCCAGGCTCCTCCTATAAGGTTTGTCCTGGTTCTCCTCTCCGCTGCCCTCTGGAATGATTTCCCCTCTGCACCTCTGAGGAACAGCTCGCTCCAGCCATCATCTGCAGCGCTCGAGTTCATTACCTCTTGCCTCTGCCAGCCACTGCCCAGGCTGCCCTGCACAGACCCCTCTGTCTGACAAACTCATACTCAACCCTTAAAAATCAGCTCAAATGTATTACTTTACAACTGGTATTTCTTTACAACTGTGCCCTCCCCCTCACCAGCCCCCTCCTGCCATGAACCCACAGCAACCGACTAGACAGCGAACTCTGTGAGGGTGGTAACTGCACCTGCAGTGCCTGAGACACGCAAGGTTGGCTTTGCGCAGCGATATGCTGTGAAGGCCGGCCAGGGAGCTACCCATATGGCACGGCAGACCTCTCCTGACTTGCCCACTGCTCCCCTCAGCAGTGTACTTCAGTCAATCTGCCTGTTCTGTTCCCCACTCTGTCTTTGGTGGATCCTCTCACCCCCTGCACCTCTGCCTGTACCCCAGCTCTTGTATGCATAAATAAATCTTTAAAAATAAAATAAAATAAAAACAAGACAAGCACCACATGACTGCACTACCATGCGGTTTGCAGAGAAAGCAGAGGAACTAAATACAAAACTTTTGGAGGCTAAGACCAACTAGTGGTTACCGGAAGGGAAGGGGAAGGAGGTAGGGTTCACCGGGAAAAGAGGAAAGTGTGAAGGAGAGACGTGGGCTTGCAGAGGTGACCATCATACAGCAGATATACCTGTGGCTTCCCCAGGTAGAACACCTGAAACTTATAATGTTGTTTAAATTTTAAATAAAACAAAAAGGGGTGAATGTAACAAATGACACATCCATTACTCCACACACACTTGAGTGACAATCTGGTCTCTAAGCAAGGCATCTAAAATAAGTGGTGAACACAATTCCCAGACATACCCAGTCATGACGCATGGCGGAGCACACAGTAATGCAGCTTCAGAACATGATCACAGATGCCCTTCCCTTGATGTATTGCCCCGGCGGCACCAGCTTTCTGCACGCCCTGCTGTGGCTGATGCAGTCCTCACACTGCTGTTCCCCTTCTGCACATTTCTCAACCAACTCTGACCTGGCTGCCCCTTCACTTTGACATGGTCTTAGCTCATATGTCACCTTCTCAGATATCTTCCCTGACCATGAATCCCAACGCAGCTGCCCATCACAACCTCTAGCCACCGTCTCTGCCATTATCTCTGTGGTCTTCTCCACACTTATGGGAAGTGACACTGTTTAACCTTTTTGAGGTTGCTTTCCTTTACCTTTTATCCTCTGTCCAATGAGCAGTGTGGGGCTCACAGGCCTTCTCAATAGGCATCTGAATGAGTGAGTAAATGAACAGGGGGGCGGAAGAAGCTAGTAAGTGTAGCATTAACCCATCATTATCTACTAGTCATAGGGTGTAGGAAACATGCAAGTGGTAGGATATTATGGGGGGAGAGATTTCCATGGAAAAGAGAATGTTACTGCCCAGCCCCTGGGAGCAGGCAGAGGAAAACAGATGCATTCCTCAGGACACTGAGGATCAGAACACTGACTTTCCAAAGAGCTGCACAGCTCCTGATGGAAAGGAATCTGCTTCCCTCTCAGCAGGTAGTCTTGCAAAGAAAAATTTTAAAGCAAGAGCTCATATACCCAGACTTGCCAAAAGAGCAGTTCTGGAAAAGCCATGCCTAAACACTACCAGAGGCACTGTAAACACAGGGACCCAGACTTGTTCAAGGTCCCCAGCACAAATTCAGGCACACAGCAGGTGCCTAGCAATGTCCGTTAAAAGAGCACGGGAAACATGGCCTGTGCTCTGAGGAATGGCCATCCCATCAGCTTTTTAGTTAATCAGGTGAAATGACATCACAGGAGGGGAGCCTGATTCCAGTATAACCAGTGCCCTTCTCTGAAGAGGAAGGGACATCAAGATGTGCACACACATGGGAAACACCACATAAGGGCACAGGGAGACGGTGGGTGTATGCAAACCAACGAGGGCGCCTCAGAAGAACCCAACCCAGTGGCACATAGATCTTGAGCTAGATAAGCACTTACTCTAGAAACCAGGCAAAACAGTTGGCCCTGGTCTCTCCCTGGGCAGCATTATTGTTCCTAGAACTCAATACACAGCCACCCTGAGCCTTAGGTATAAAATAACATCTTCCCCAGAGTCATCCCATAACAAAGCTGAAAAAGCTTTGCCAATATAGTGGCCAGTAGAGTTAGTAACCAGCAACAGATGTTTTTTGACTTTTTAACATCATCAAGGAAGGACAGCTAAAAATGTTCAAAGGACAACTAAAATTGAAGAATTCTACCATTAGTTCTTATCTACCAGCTCACTGTATGATCCCAGGAAAATCACATCACCTTCTTGAGTGTCAGTTTCGTAACAGTCATAATGTTCTTTAACCAAAGAGTAGTCTGGGGAGGATTAATTAGCTAGTAGTTGTAATGTTCTCTGTGGCCAATGTTTGAAAGACACCACAAACCAAATTAACTATGAAACAAGGGAAGTATAAGTTCCACTTCAAAACCTGGAGAGTGAGAATGATTGGAAATGGTATCTATGGCTCTGATACCAACTCATTCTCAGACCAAGGCATGTTTTCTTAGGAAAGGATTCCTAACACCACAACGGATCATTTAGAGCTGGAAATGTCAACTGCTTATGTACTCTGACAAGATTAACTTCCCATGGATGGAGACGTGAAAGACAGTGACAAGCAACTGTACAATTATGGCTGTTCCAACAGTTCGCTGTGGCTGGATCCGTGCCTAATCTCAGTGCTGGTTAGTTTCCATGCAGTCTACCTGACCAAAAGGCAAGCAACCGATTTCAGTGAGAAAAAGTAAGCGGTTTAAAATGCTACAAATACGCTGACCACCGCTGACATTCGAGGAATTACAGCAACATCCAGTAGCCATAACTGTGCTTTCTTGCCAAAACGACGTCCTAACTTCCTTCCACTTTGAAGTATTTTGAAGTATTTCGATCAGTTTTTGGTTGTCTACAACATTTTAAGGGAGAAACATTTTAAGATAGAAATCTAAGCAAAACTGAGGGGCCAGCTCCGGAAGCAGAGGTTGGGAATGGCATGTGGGGGAGACCAGTCTGGCCCCTCTGTAACCTAAATGAATGGAGCAAGGTGACTGCGAAGGGGGGGCAGGCTGCCAGCATCGCCTCCACCTGGACGGCCTCTCCTTTCCGCCTGGCACACTGGCCTCCGGGATGGGGCTCTCCCCGGACCCCCGCCGGACCCCAACAGCCGGGCCCACCTGCAGCAGCCCCGGGAGCTCATCGGCGGTGATGGGGCCAGGGGCTGGCGGCGGACTCGGTCCCCACTCGCCCCTTTAGGCTGAGGTTGGGGTGGTGCCCGCTGCCCCCCACTGGCAGGGGATGGAGGGTCGGCCCCCAAACCTCCAGCAAACCCGAGGGTCCCCTCTGCCCCCGGCCTCTTCAAGGAGGTGCCCAGGGTGGCATGTAGGGGGCAGGCAGGAGGGCGGCGGCCGGTACTCACAAAGCCCACTGGAACCGGTGCTGGTGAACATGGTCCCGCCGGACCCGGAGCCCCCGCGGGGGGACAGGGGGAGGGGAAGCGGAGGTGGAGGGAGCCGGCGACCGCGCAGGCGCACTACCGGTTTCGCCCGCTCGCGCCCCGGCGGCCGCGGGGGAGGGCGCATGCGCGGCCGCGGGGCGCCCCGCCCGCGCGGCTCCTTCCTGCGGGCGGAGGAAGTGCGTGCGCGGCGGGCGGCCGGCGCCCCCGGGTCTGTCCGACGGCCGCGGGCGCACTTAGCAAGGCAGTGGCACGGCGTGGGAGGAGCGGTGCAACTCCTGGGCGCCGCGCACTGGCCTCAGGGCCGCCCTCCCGACCCGGGAGCGGCGAGAGCGCCGGGGTCCTGCGCGGCCCGGGTCGGGCGCCCTCCTCGCGACCTCTGACCTCGCCCCGGACGGGGCGCCCGGTGCCTCCGCGCATGCGCAGTGTTGGCCTGGCCGGACTGTCGCCGTGACTGTGCGACGCGACGCCGGGTCGCGTGTCCAGCCCGCGCCACACGCCCCGCCCGGAATCCCCGCGGGAGGCGTCGAGCGTCGTGGTCCCGAGACCCCAGCCTTCGCCACGCGTGGCCGGGGGTCCCCAAGCGCGAGGGGATCCCCCCCTCGCCGGCGAACCTGCTTCGCAAACTGCCCTCCTAGTGTCCTTCCCGACCCCAGCCATTAAATTGTTTTCAACTTGCAAAATGAAATTGCACTTTGTCAAAGCAAAGTCACGATTTGTTGCTTTGTTTGAATGAGTTTGAGCACGCATGGTTTTATGTTACGCAGTTGTTTAGACAGTTGAAGAAGACATGTTATGGGGAGTGACCGATTACAAGGCTAAATGAAAAGGGCAGGTTACAAAACTATGCAGCATGCTTTAAAAAGGTACTTTCAGGGTCCTTAGGAGGGACAAATGTAGAATTCAATGATCAATAAAACACCGATTTTTAGGAGAGGTGACATTGGTCAGAATACTAACAATTCCTACAAGGCAAAAGTATAAGAAGTGACTTCTAGATGCTCAGTGTGGATTTTGAGTAACATAGAACTTCATTTCATTTTTATAGAACTCAATCTTTGTCGTTTACGCACATAGAACAATGCATGGATATATGCATTAAAGAATCGTTTTCTACCTAGCACTGCTATCTATGTGCTTTTTTTTTTTTTTTTTTTTTTTAAAATACAAGCACTGGGTACAGTCAGAAGCGCGGGATGGTGAGAGAATTCACCAGAGCCAGAGCGGGGAGCAGAACAGGCAGAAGGACCGAAGGACACTGCTGAGGGGAGCAGTGGGCGGCAGGAGAGGTCTGCGCGCCATGTGGGACCCTCGCCCTACGGCTGGGGAACAAACTGGTGATGCAGAAGCTGCGGACAGTATTGCAACCCAGCGCTCAACCGCTGCCCCACCGGGGAGGCCCTATCTATGTGCTTTAATTACATCATAGAGTGGATGTTACCCACTCACCTCTACCTGGTAAGCTAATTTCCAAAAATATCAGCTCAAATAATGCCTCTTTGATCCTGGAATAAACCTAAGTAGCTATCCCCTCTATGAACAAATGGTACTTTATCCACAACTAAGTTATACTACTATCTCTACTAGGAAAGATGAGTCCCTAGAGGACAGGGAGGGTGTCTACAAAATGTATCCAATCCATTTTGAGGCTCTTGGGATGAAAACATGTCTTTCTCTAATAAAATGAAATAGTACCTCTATAGTTCGAACTTTCAGGAAGGAAATCTGGAAGTGAGTCCCAAAAAGTATCTTTTCCTGCGCTAAGCCTGCCTGTAGCCTATGTTCCTTTCCTATAGCCAAGTTAGGCTACCATCTTTCCTAAAGATTACTAAGTAGTGGAGGGGGTCAACAACAGCAAAAGTAAGAATTACAAATTCCTAAAGGGTAAATTCTGAATACACAACTGCTATTCCACCCTAAGCTTATACGCCACATCCTGTTCCACATTCAGAGTGAGGAGCCTCTTTGCAATTTCCCAGGGTTTCCATTCAACAACCTTTTGAGGGAATGAGTAGATAATGAATAGGATTGATGGACAATCCTTGGATAAAGTAGCCTTCATTTTGGTTCACGTGCACTTTTAGCATAATATATCAGTGAAATTTTAGAAACTAGATCTGGATGTTTTTCAAACATTCAATGATTTTTAAAAATTTTAATTAAAAATTTTTATTTCAATGATTCAATAGTATTCATAATAGATTTCTATTACCTGCCGAGCAGGAAGCATTTTCAAAATTTGTAAGGGTATTTTGGTTGTCACAATGAATTTGGGGATATCACTTTGGTTCTAGTGATGCCAGACACAATCCTTTTACCAGAAAAATAAGGTCATTCTCTTTCCTAACTAACTTCTGACTCTCCCTCTTCATGCTTATTAAGTAGGTAAAGCCTGTTTGTATATACTAGACTCTGGAACCGAGTCCATTTGTAAACACGAGTGCTTAGAAGAGCTTTAAGTCATGCTGAATTTTCCAGGAATGCAACTATTACACTGTTTGGGTTGTTATTTGTAAGTTAATCAAGAGTTGTTTACCAATTCAAAAAACCACAGCTGTGCTCGCTGCCTTTGAGCTGCACTTTACAGACATAAGAGGTGCTTGCCTCTTCTGCGTCCTTCAAAAAGTGCACAGATTTAACCTTTATTTTAAGATACCATATATATTGTAAATATTTTTTAAAAAGTGTTGAGACTATTCAATGGAATATTTGAAAGTGTCTGTACTGACAACATAGTATTTTCTATTCGAAATTTCAAATTTAGGTGAACTCATCAAGATTAAGTCAATATTTTGTAAAGAAAGGGTTGACAAAGATAGAAACCAAAGATTTAAGATGAATTTGAAAATCATAGTACTGTTCTTGAAATTTTTTTGGACATAATGTGAGGGAATAGAATAACACAAAGGATGGCAATCAGTGATAATCTAAACAATAACAATATAGGAGAAAAAATAATTTTGCCAGCTGTATAAGAGGTTTATTATTATGAGAGGAAGAAATTGAAATGATTTGAATGTTGAACAATAATTAGTGTGTAGAAGGATCGATGAGAAATCCAGAGTAGAAAATAGACTCAAATGACTTCCTGTTAGGAAAATGTTGGTTGCAAGTGAATTCAAGATAATGAGGCCTTGCTGATCACAAGTGCCAGATTCATGGGACTAAAAACATTGAACAGAATGTTTATTTCCACATGCACAGACAATGGATACTAATTGTCAAAATCTGTAACTCTTACAAATTACTTCACAGAAGGCTTTTTTCCTTTCCAATGTCACTGTACTACAGATAGAACAGCAACCACCAGCTGATAATAAGGGCTTGTAAACAACTGAAGAGTAGCCAAGGCCATGTTAGCAAGTCAGTAAATTATTCATTGACACTATCAGTCACCCAAACTGCTTGTAAAAGACACACAAATCCAGTAATGCTACCAATGCTGTTAGGAAAATTAATGCTGTGACTAAAAGATGGCTTTGTTTTTTATTTAAATTTAAACGATGACAGTGGAAAATAGTTGGATTGTCTTATCTCTCATCTGGAAGTAAGATGGCACTCCAAAGAAAACTATTGGAAAATAGTTTATTCTTTAATACTAATGTGCAATTTTTGTTTCAGTCAATGAAAGTTACATAATGATGTAAAAAATATGATGAAATACTATGTATTGAAATTATAAGTAAGGTCACTGAACTGCAAGTAAATGCTTTTGATATTATTATTTGGTATTATTTTTTGATATTTTTGATATTTGGATATCAATGTTATTGATATTATCATGAAATTTTTCAACAAACATCGCAATTTAAGAGACACTTTCTTGCCCAAATCTTCATAGTTCATTGTCTGTTGCAGATAAGAATAGGTCCAAGAGGCTAGATTGGGATTATATTGCCAATTTTGATACTACTTGAAAACATGACTATATCTAACGATCAGTGCAGACTTACAATGGGTTAGATACTCAGTTCACTTGAAAATGAAGAAATTTATCAGTCATGTTTGCAGAAAATGTTAATTGAGCTAAGAATGATTTGAGGACAAAAGAAGTATTTAACCTATTACAAAAGGTTTTGGTTTCAGCCAAGACTTTCATTTGTCCTTTAACTGGGAGATGCATTGTTTATTATAGTCTCTCCAACTGCCTATTTAGGAAAATGAGTTTCCTTGTAATGGAACACTGGGACAATTGCTGCAAAAGTAATAAAATGTAACAACATTTGTGATTTCTTTTAACAAAATGAGACCCTCTTTACATCTCATTCATCAACCTGTTTCTTGTTAAAAGGATGGGGACCCCTGGGTCTAGGTTCTGAAGACCGCACATGTGCAATCACATGAGGTGGATTTCAGAACAAAAGATGTTTTCTGTAAAATGTCATCACTGCCTCTTGAAAACACAGGGAAGCTTCTGTTTTGCTTTTATCTATAAAAGATATTTATTAAGGTGGCGCAACATTAGCTTCGTTCTTACAGTATATAGTCTTCTAATTTGTATCTCTGCAGGCTAGCCAGAAATCTGTCCCTGGGATTATCAGAGGACTTATTCTGTGCTTCCAATCAACTGGCTCTAGATCAGAGGGGCCCAGGATGCCCTCCTTGGGCTCGACTGGTTCCCTAGAGCAGCTCACAGAACTCACTAGATCTTCAATTTATTGCAAAGGATTGCAACTCAGAAACAGTCTGGAGGAGTGGCGTCAGGCCAGGTATGGGGATAGGGTTCGGAGCGCCCATGCCATTCTCTCCCATTTTCTCCCCCAGTCTCCACCTGTTCACCCCCAGAGAAATATTTTTAAGCCACTCACATAGAACCTGTCACATCTGTGAGATGATCACACTTGCTCATCTTTTCCATCCTCAACAACTGCTCTTTCTGGGAAGGTCAGTTGAAGTTCCTTCTTTCTCATGTTTTGGTTTAGTGTCTATAAGCTTTGCCATCCAGGAGCAGAGAGGGAATGCCCTTCTCAGGGTAGATAGTTCCTAGAGATAGTGAACAACTGGACGAGTGTGCCTTTGCTATGCAAACTAACCACCCAGAGTCTGCAGGCCTCCTGTATTTAGCACTCAGTCGC